GTACAGCTCAGATAATTATTGTATGCTCTATGTGTGGCTGTGCGTACAGCTCAGATAATTATTGTATGCTCTATGTGTGGCTGTGCGTACAGCTCAGATAATTATAGTATGATCTATGTGTGGCTTTATGTACAGCTCAGATAATTATTGTATGCTCTATACATGTATTTGTTTTTTATACTGGTACTTCAATTTTCCACAGAAATACTGTCATGTTTTCAGTTGTGGAACGTTGCCAATAAGGTGATCTCTCTCAGCACCATTTCTTCCATTAGCTCCCTAAATCAGCAGTCCACAACAATACACACCCTGTGTGGAAACTGTCGAAGACAGATGACCAGAATTGGATGGTTTTGTGACAGGTGCAAGATTATGCCCACCCAATGTAGCGTTTGGTACGTCTGTTTAACTAGTTGTTTTAAATGTGATAGTATTACAGTTTTATAAATATGCTCTTTGATTTTAAGGTATAATAAAATACTTGTAGATAAATGTTGAAACTAAAGAATATTCTATTCATCAAGTTGTGAAAAGTCAGCGTATAGGATATATTGTGGCTGTATGCTCGGAAATACGAGGTGGCCATTTTCTGAACATTAGGGCTTAGTGACTGAACAAAATAGTCTAAATTATCAATGTTGACAAATTTCAGGAAAGTTTTTTTTTTTTTTGCTTATATCTAATGGTTGTGGCCCATAGTGTATGAAAATATATAACGATAAAGAAAATGTGAAGAACACTAGAATTTTCAAGTCCAAAACAGAAGATGTACCACTGATTAGTATTTTAACAGAACCCTTTTAATTTTTAACCCCAAATTATGCTACCACACCCTTTAAATTCTGTTTTATAGATTTTGTATATTGTGTTCCTGTAAATTTGTTATGGGGTGTGAAATGAAGCAACAACACCATTGAGACTGTTGTCATTTAAGTATGCGTCCTTCTGCAACCAAATCTAGATGTTTTTATAACGTTGAATAAAGTATCGACCAATCGGAAACCATATTGATAATTATCATATTCAGAAGCTGGCCCTGCCCTACGAGATTTAGCAGAAAGATGTCAAAATGATGAAAGCCATCTAGCCAAGAAAGTGTATCATGGGAGGAAAGGAATTTCATATCAGGATGTCATCCTCATTACAAAGAAACTGTAAAAGTACAACCATAAATAAATTTACTGTTTAAATGATACACATTAAGTGGAGGTAAAAGTCTAAAAAAAAAAATCAACCACAAAAATTACGGTATAATAAATTGGATTCCAGTACAGAACTGACATTTTGAGACACAACCCTAACACTAAAACACGACAAAAATCAAGAAAACGGAGGCAAAAGTTACTGGTAAATTTAATAGCTAAATAGTACCCATAAAAACAAACTAAAGGTGAAAATCTACCACAATTAGAAATGTCATCTTGATACAGAAATCTTGTTAATATTAGTGTTGCAGGAATGTGTCAAGATGCTGCTAATTGATAGTACAGTAAATTTTCCAAAATAACTGAAAACCCTACAGTTTGTATTCTTTGATCGATAGATTTAAACACTTTTTATGATGGGAAAGTGACTGCAGAAGTTAAATTATTCCTATTTTTCTGCTCAAATACCAGTTATGTAGTAATTTGTTAAGTTGGTCGGCATCTCTAGAATGGCGATACATAATGTTTCTGGTAAACTTTACTTTTTAGTGGTATTTTCAACGTTAGGGATAGTTTAAAAATGTATTGGAGTCACTTCAGTTTTGCGATGTCATTTATTTTAGGGTTATTGTGACAGTATAATATATACTTAAATTTTATGCATTACATAGATCATCTGGAAGAGATGACTTGCTCTCACATTAACAATAGTTGAATTGATTTCAGTTAATTTCTTTAATACCAACTGTATGGTACTAATTATATAGCAACATTTATCTTATCTTGTATGTATGATTATATGGCTATATAATAAAATATATATAGTTAACAGTAAGTAAAAGCTTGACCATTTTTTTCCTTCGTCATACAGATACATTTTATTTTACTTTCTTTAACAACAGTCACCAAGCCGTGAGAGGTCTGTATGCATGGTGTCAAGGTTGTGCACATGGTGGTCATCTTCAGCATATCCAAGAGTGGCTACAATACCATCCATGGTGTCCTACTGGTTGTGGACATCTCTGTGAATACACTTAAAGTGCTAATTACACTAGCAAAACCATGTATATCTAAAAAATATATTGATGTAAGAGAAAACCAAATATTTTGTATGATGTTGTAGAGGTACTTGATATTAATATTGAACTTTTTTTTTAATTTATATAAATATATATTTCTATCTATTGATGTGTCTGGTGTACATATCCAGAAGTGATTAAAAGATTAGTTCAGAGTGTTTGTTTTGGGCATTAATAGTTTGTTGCCTATTAGCATATTCCTTTATAGCTCTTTTTGTACAGACGTAAGAAGATTATGGATGATCATAGCTCAAAATGTTAGAAATAACAAATATGATGTTTTATGTTATGTTCATTAAGCCTTTTTTAATGGGTATTAATTTTCCAGTTCATCATATTTTATTTCTTGGCCAAAGTGATCATAGGATTACAAATTAAAGAGATTTTAAAGTTCAGCCTTTTGGAATGAATATTCTTTGTTTTTGGATTTTACTTGACAGTATACATGTTAACATTCAAGAAAGGATGTAGTAATACTACACTGGATTAACCAAAAAAATATTTATTTAAGCAGTTATTTGATAAATCACTTTAATAAATCTGTTTTTTTTCTAACTGCCTTCCTTGTTAATGAAGTGACATTGTCACACCATTATTGATGTGTTCCTTTAGATGCTGTATCTTGTTGCTGTGGAGTGACATTGTCACACCATTATTGATGTGTTCCTCTAGGTGCTGCATATTGTGGATTTCCACACCTAAACAAGGGATTTGGTATATCCAACCTTCACTTTCACACATCTAAATTATATTGTTACTACCTTAGCCAATTAAAAGTATTATTTAAATAAGAATCCACGTTTAAAGTACCTTTTATAACAGAGCATATTACATAATAGTTGTGTACTTGAGAATGATTGCATCAGTGATTGAAATGTCTTGCCTGTTTTAAAAAATATTCTCCCTCATTATAAATGCTGTAACTCTCAATAAAATAATTATTCTTTTTATAGTCATAAACCAATACTTTTTTTTTTGTTACTCAAAATTATATTTCTTCAAAATAGGTTCTGATCAGAACTAAGAAGGGTAATCAAAATACGTTCGTTTCAAACATCACAGTTAGCCAAGGAAACTCAATAATGTACAAAATAACAAATGAATAAGATAAAAACACACTGCTAAGTTAATGTTCCAAACACTAATTTCAGGTAAGTATAAGAGGAATTATTCTCTAAAAGGTAATGATCCTTGCTGTCATTTGCCTATTCAAAAAAAAGTTGCTGAAACACACATTTTGAACTGATAGACTAAAAGGAAAACAGTTACTCAACAGCACTCACTAATCAAATAATGGGATTTGAGTCACATTTGTAATGAATCCAAGGCCCCAAAGTGTGGAGTGCGGCTTTGCGCAAATGGGACGTGAACAATGGACCCTCCTATTTACAGTCCGGCAAGCTAACCACTATGCCATACCTGGTCCAAAGGAATAATGATTGTTTTCGGAATAAATTAAATTTATTCTGGATATTCTATTGAATTTTGGAGCGTTTTAACGAGGTGAATTTATTACAAATGAATTATTCACACTAAATAAATCAGCAATATATACATTTCACTAATAACATTGTAAGTCCTCTTTCAACTCCAAAAGACGTTTAAGAAAAGAGATTAACGTGTACCATAGGAATACATGTAGTAAGTGGCCAGCCGTACAAAAGAAGATACCACGATAAAACTGGAGTTCACACCGAGAGTTGTCAAACGTGCCTTAGATATTTGGGATCAAACGGCGCCGTCCCTGAACCCAAGATAAAATTTAATTAATATTTATAATAATTTTTCGTTTTTGTGAAGGTTTAGTTTATAATGTGCACAAGCTCATTGTTATACTTCCATGCAAAACTCAACTTTAATTTTTATATCCAGTGTGACTCAAAGTAAATATGTTTACAATAGTTTGTTTGGTTGTTTTGAATATTCGTGCAAAGACATACAAGGGCTATTTGTGCTAGCCGTCCTTAAAAAAGGGGGGTGGGGCTATAAGCCATCCCAACTAGGATGTTGGACACACTGGTGATCTACAAGTCTTGAAAGCAAAGCCTCCCCATCCCCTAGAAAAGGCTGGCACTGGATCTGCTCAAGTTATTTCGTAGTTTAATATTGAACACTGTCTACTTTGAATTCAAAAGCCGACAAGCTTACTTATGTAGCCCAAACTCTTTCCTCAAACTTGTACAATACAAATTATGTAGGGGAATATTCCAAGCCCAAGGTTTTAACCCTTTCACTGCGGCTGAGATAAAAGTTTCCCAGTACACCCACCGCCCTCACATTGCGACTGGAACAAATGCTTCCCACTGTCGACGCTGTTTACCCTTCCTTTGCTGGGTCCAGGTTCATCATCACTAGATGGAGAGCCAGCATCCTCTTGTCTCATTGCCTCTTCAGCGTCACAGATTTGAACACTACTTGACCCGCTTTCACTATCTTCTAAGCTATACGAGTCAAGCATATTTACATAGTAATCAGGGTTACTAACCGCCGCTCTAGCGATGTGGGCATGGTCGGCACACAGTTGTGGTATATTCCATTTAGGCATCTTGTTGGTTACTGAAGGGTTGAGCGGAAAACTATATATCAACACTAGGTGGGATGACAACAAATACTGTCCAACCCATTTTACTCCCGTACGTCACGCGTCGTAATTTTGAATGACTATGGCAAACATTTTCCCAGTTGTAGTGTGAGGGGGGGCGCGACACTGGGAAAAATACGACCTAGCCATGGTGAATGGGTTAATCGCTATTCACACACTACACAACAAATAACATCATATAATGAAATACAAAGCAAATCAATAATTTGGTTTGGATTGAGTTCCTAATGGACCGTTCCTACCACAAGAAACAAAGCAAAGATAGTCCATTAGAAATTTCAACCCGAAATTGTCTGTGCTGCCTGAAACGCCAATTAACGAAACAAAAAGTAGAACGACATGCTACCGTACAATACAATTTAAATGCAGACTGAATAATAAATAATGTGGAAGTTAATTTTCTCTATGATAAATATTCAGCATTTAGCGGCACACCTAACTAACAATATTATATGACAGTTAAAAAAATTATTACATCTAAAACCAGTTGGATCATTATTGTGAATATTAACTAAAAATACTGCTTTCAACACCCGTTAAATACATATTTTTATTATGCAGTGTTTCGACTATAGGCTTACTTTGGCCAAACTAACTACTCTGTAACTCGGTGGTTCTTAACCCTTGCCAAGCCATTTTGAGTGGGTTGCAAAGGACCTCCTGTGACTGTCTGAGTGAAAGAAATACCTTTGTTGCAATGTTTAACATGTAATTTTGTTTTTCTTTAAGCGTTATTGATCAATTTTTTTCAAATGACATCCAAATTAAGCAACCCAGTAAACTACATAAACATAATTTTGTTTTATCTCTGTAATTATCATAATTGCTCGGTTGAAGAAACATTACAGATGTCGGCATGACGCTCTTTCCAATAAGATATATTTTGGAAGTTAATTTCGGATATACCTAGCTATAGACCATTTTATATCCAAGTTAAATACACATAATTTGATTGAAAACAAACTTATATAACCAGGTGCTTCATAATTGACAAAAGTAAGCAATTTACAGGCTTTATGACGATTACTTGAAATTACCCTGTTAGGAACGATAGTCAGTGATACAGTGAGTTGTTTCAAAAAAAGATTTTTCGCATTATGATGGTAAATTTCAAATAATTTTGAATCGAATTAATAGTAATTGGTACTGAATCCTGTTGAAAAGTTATGTCACTTAGCCAGCAGCATCTCTTTCTTTGAAGACTTATAAAAAAGACCAATGACACGTCACAGAAAATGGCCAACCCACGTGCATTTGTGGTTAAAGGCGAGGCCAAAAATAAAATAAATTGTAGTGTGCGTATGGTAACATACTCCAAATGATAGTTTAATGAATAAGCAGAGATATTAATCTGTTTTGAAACATTACGTAAAGGGCTCAGCCTGGCCAGGTGGTTAGGGCGCTCGACTCGCAATCTGTGGGTCGGGAGTTCGAATCTTCGTCACACCAAACATGCTCGCACTTTCAGCCGTAGGGGCGTTATAATGTGATGGTCAATCCCACTATTCATTGGTACCAAGAGTTGGCGGTGATGACTAGCTGCCTTCCCTCTAGTCTTACACTGCTAAATTAGGGACGGCTAGCACAGATAGCCCTCGTGTAGCTTTGCGCGAAATCCAAAACAAACATTACGTAAAAAATTCCACGGAAATTAACAGAGTTTACAAAACATCAACCGATCGTATAAGAAACTGACACAAAACCTTAAATCTCCAACAATTTTACTTAAATTTTTTATTGTTCTACACATCAAGAGGTAACAAATATCAATGATTTTGTACGATGAACAATTATAAAATCTTCATTGGTGTAAGGCAGAAGTTTGAATGTTTCATCGGCACCAATTCATCATGGAGCCCAGTATTTCTAAAACAAGGTAATTACTTTCAAACACAACAAATTAACGTGTTTGGATACGATCCCAATGTTACACAAGTAACCCTGCAGACCTATGTACTATAAGCTTGATGGTTAAGCCTAGTTGGATATTTCATCCTTTGTTGTCATACACAGTAAATGGTTTTATTTAATATCTATACGGGTACTTAACAATGGGTGTTTACATTATGTAACTACACGTTAGTCATACAAAAACTTAGCTCTCACACATAAAACAAACTACAATGTACTCTCGAAACCATTTAATTTCATTATCATTATTTTCATAAGTTTGGAACTTTTAAAGCAAACTTAGATTTGTTTGTTTATTTGTAGTTAAGCACAAAGCTACACAATGGGCTATCTGTGCTCTGCCCACCACGGGTATTGAAACCTGGTTTCTGGCGTTGTAAGTTCGCAGACATTCCGCTGTGCCACTTGGGGGCGCGAACTTAGAGGGGCGTAGCTAAGTGTAGGATGTAAACTTGAAAGTTCAAGGTACGAATTTTCCCAATAAAAATTAGAATAAGAAATGCCAGAAATCAAACTGTAAATGCTTACAATATTTCATATCGCTTGTATAGTTAATTGATTAAAGATTATATACGCAGAAATTGTTACCAGAATGTGCCATTTCAGGTTCAAACTTTTCCACACCCTCCTACCATGCATAACTCAAAGTTAAGCTTAGATGTGCCCCTGATTTAACTTCAGTTACCAGTATTTTGAATAAATCGTAATTAATATTCAAAAGGAAATTACACTAATTCACACAAATCATCATAATATCTGCAAGTACAAAAAATATGTAGATAAAAAAAAAAGTACCTTACATTTTTTTCAAATGACATATTCTACTCCATTTTTTTACAAGTACAAAGTTAGTATGTACATATTTAGTACTACCTTTTATTGATACA